GCTTCTGTCCTGAAGAAAAACTCTAGAATACTCGATGATAGCACGTCATGAACCGCAACCTTGAGGGACGCCAGAAGTGCACTAGCCAACAGCACAGTGGTGGGGAGAAGAGAAGCAGCATTATATTTCCTCAGGAGTTTCTGCATTCTTCGAACTCCCTCAACAGCGCAAACCTAGGGCCGCGGAAAGCTACCGTGCGTTATTGCATTTTGAAAGTCAAACGCAGGATACGGCCCATCTAGGTATCATATTTGTCTGCACGTGTCCCAGACTTCTTTACCATTACCTATGATTAAGGATTCCCGACAGAATCCGAAACGTCAGGACAGTAAAACACTTGTTCCAGTGGTCGCTTCTCCTTCTTCTTCTGAAATCTCCTGTGCCTACAAAATCAAGTCTCAACCAAAGAAAGCGAGTTCGTGGCTAAGATCACGTGAATCTGGCTGAGGACGATTAATAGACCAGAAGTGACCGTCCTAGTCTTCACTGTGTTTTTCGGTATCCTGCTTATGTATACATTAATAGTCACTACGTGACCAATGAACTCTAAGGCACAGACAGACAAGCGGGTCCCAGAACCCGGTCGATTAACCCACCTCTAACAAGGAGTTTAGTGCCAAAAGAGTGCGACCAAGCACATATCTAGCGATGAAGAAAATGTCGATATTGTAGGAAAGAGAATTAATCAGTTGGATGTCAAAATAAAACAGCAAGTATGTACAAGCTTGGGATACATTTGATGGTGTATGTGACACGATGTATACAACCGCAGTATACAAAATGGTCCAACTTATATATCCAGATCATCATCTGGGTCCTCATCGTCAAAATCATCGTACACATCCGGATCGTAGTCGATTTTGCATTCATCATTACTTGAATCAGCGTTGGCGATAGCCCTAAAGGGCAAGACCACTTTCTGTCGGTCGGCCACTTCAGCCGGAGTGAGGTCGAGCCGGAAAGTTGATGAGGGAAGAGAAGTCTGGGATTCTTGCTGGGAGACATTCTCCTCGCCAAGACTCGTCTTCACAATCGGCCTACAGTGCAGCACAGCCAGCGACTCCAAATCC